CCCCCCCCCCCGCCTGTTGCCCTCACTATCCTTTGACACTGCCTCTTGGAGAAAAAGACAATCCCTCCCTGTGTACAGGAGAGGACAGGGGGACAGCCACCCATGGGAGAAATGACAGTAGAGGTCCCAGTAATCTCCAGGACGAGCCCCGAAATGGCGGCAGGCGCCTGTTTAAATACTAATCCGAGCAGACACCTCGGTCTGCACCTACACACTCACACACTTCCAGTCCTCCTGTGATTCCTTGGTGCAGATGGGGCAGTTCACCGTCATGGCAACGTGAGCCTAACAAGGTTTCGTTCTGTTTTGCTGTGAAAGAGGGAAAAAAAATGCTTCCTTTCCTTCCCTGAAAAGCGCAGGATGATGAGTACATATGTTGATTTTCAGGCTGTGAGCCATGTAACGCCACTGTGCCGTCCCATCAGGCCTTGGGACAGAGTGACAGCAGGATAGTGTCACGCTACACAGTGACTTCTAAAGTGCCACTGCATAAGAGCCTTGAGTGTGTTTATTTGGGTCCTTACCTTCCTGGTAACACCACTCTTCCGTTTTTTCACTGTCCACCTTCTATTCTATTTTTTGTTTTACCCCCCACCTCTTAGTCATAGTGGAGAGTGTGAAGCATCCTCCCTGCAGCAGTCGCAGGGACAAAAAAAAAGGGTGGCGCCAGGACCAACAACCTGCTTCAAGCCCAGGGACTAAAAGAGTGAGACAGTAAATGAAATGAGAAACTGGAAACGCAGGGAGAGAAGGGCAGAAGTGGGTAGGTGGGTTGCTGGGCAGCAGGTCCCCCCCCCCCCCCTCCTCCACCTCCACCTCCCCTCTGGCCCAGAGGCCTTGGCATCCAGTGAGTAACACCCCCTCCTTCTCTTCCCTGGCCCTCTTTCGCATCACCACCCCCCACCTGTTCAGATCCACGGTGCAGTGAGTGGCGATCAGCACGCTGTGAACACAAAGCAGTGGCCCCGCGGCCCTCCGCCTGGACCTCGGTGTCAGGACCCAGTCGAGCTGAGAGAGAGAGAGAGAGAGAGGGGGAGCATTAGAGAGCAGGATAGAGGGAGAAATGGATAGCAGCAAAATGTAGAATAATTATACCCAGTGGGTAATGCGAGCACCGTCGTTACAGGGGCGGTGTGGTCGGGCCGGGGAGGAAAAAAAGACAGAGAGGCAGGAGCGTCACCAGGGCGAGCTTGCAGGGCCAGTGGGCATGTTTGGTAAAGCACACTCACAGACCTCCCACTGCATGGCTGAAGCTCCGTCTGTAGAAGCGCTGCAGGAGATCATCTGGATACTGGCGAGCAGGAATGCACGGGGGACGAAACACTGCTGCTGTGGTCCTGCATTCTGTGTACAGATCACATGTGGAAATGTTAATACAAAAAAAGATGAGGGAGAAATATCTTATATTATATTTTATATATATTTTACATGACAGTAAAATAGAAACATGTGATTGTTTGTGCAGGTAGATAACTGATAATACAGTTCAGAAGGATTCCACAATGAAGTGGATTTTAGCCCTTTGGATAGATATGTATCATAGACACAGTACATAGCCTACTATAAGGCTTTTTTCATATTAAAATAATTTATTTGTTTGCAAGGAAAATCTGATTTTACAGGAGTTATTGAATCAGATGTTGACTTAGTTTAATTTACATTCATATTTTGAAGCCTTAATTTGATGTGCAGAGATTTGACTGAGTCATAGCATTTCTATGCCTTCTTGTTTAGACCACTTTACTATATATTAAATATGTCAGTAACAGAAATAGGAACATGTAAGAAGTGTCGTTCTTTATTAAATTAAAATTTTTCAGTATAATTAGAACATCTAATGTAACATCCAACAGCAGCTGAAGAATAAAAAAAATCAAGTTGTAGTTTTTAAGTTTCAATTCTCTGTTGTAACTTTTAGTGAGTGTCCCAGAAAGGCTCAGTGTTCTGTGCAGGGGTGTCAAATAAAAAGCAGAATTCACTTAATAGACCTGTGGGTACAGAATACATGATGTGCTCTCATGCAACGAGCTCTCGCATGCAAACTGCAGCCTTAACATCAGGAGGACGCTTGCAGATAATGATGCAGGAGGACAAATATTTCCTCGTTATGTTGATGTCGGCTCGGCCCTCCAAAATCCTTTAATGCTAATCTAAACTTTAGATAAGTTTAAATGTGGTCGAGCAAAATCCAGCTATTCACACTCTGTGAAATGTTTAACTTCCAATCCCAAGTAAAAATGTGCAAAATCTATTTAAAGCCAAATACAAATATGTCATAAATTCCCAAATGATATGTACAATAGATTTATTAAATTCAGAAATTAGTAAAATGTTCTAAATCACTCACATTTTGCCTACAATTCAACATTAATTCATTTGAGACTGATAACTTATAAATCTAGTTAAAGTGTATTATTATAGGTCATAAAAATATTAATTTTAAATAATGAGTTGAACTGTTAAAACATATTTATTATTGTTCTACAGAAATAAGATATCATGCTTAGTATACAATTAGAAAGTGATTAATGAGCTGATCTTAATGCATCTCTTTTTTTTATATCTTATATCACTTTAAATCTCTGATTACATTTCAATGATAATTTGCTTTAAACATTGTAATAAATGCTGCATTTATCCAGCCTCTGTACCAGTCTCAGAGATGATCTTAATGTTTTTAATTTCACCCTGCAGAGTCGTGAATAAACACAACAACAGGATGCACACTCCTGTCATGGTGCCTTTGCTGCATCTGACATGTTTTGTTCTAACAGATACTCTCTTGCATCTTGTGACAAGCATGAGCTTGTTTTGAACCCTCAGGAGTTGATCAATCATTTAATCTCTTTAATAGGCCCAAATCAAAACTAATGGTGCATGTAATAAGTGTTTAACTAAACTGTGTGGACAGTGGGGGACTTCAGTGGTGCCGTAATGATTTTCTCATAACTGAGTATGACAGTTCTAATGAATTTAGGGCTCACAAACAAACTTTTAACAACTCATTTGCAATGTTTGCCTCTAACATTGCCTTCTCTCACTCTGACTGAAAATCTGCATGTACTCTGCTCTTGCCACAAGTGCTGTGTTTATTAATACATTTATGCCAATATATTTGCATTTCATAGAGTGTATTAAAAGCATTCGCTAATCCTAGATAATTCACTCACAGGGCACTTTGTCAGACTTGGATTTTAAATTTGGAACTAATGTGAGGGATTTGGTGCCACCTTGTGTTGACTGTGGAGAACACAACGTATCAACAGAATCATTCCTTCTACATATCTCATAACTTATTGTCGCTCATTTTACAATGGTGATATAATGATGGTTAAAAACTGTGTTTAAAATATGTTCCAACAATAATGCTGAGATGTTAGTAAAAAGGGAAACTTCTCTGTTCTTTTTCACAGAGTGTCCTCAACTTCATATTCCTCTACTTCATACCATCATTATTTTAGAATCCTAAGGGACACATAACCTTAAAGTATCTTTACACTATGAGGATCATGTTGTATTTTAATTATAAAACAATATTTTGCAATAGATTTATCATTAATTATATTTTGCAGAGCTTCTTCATTATGCACTGTGACAGGGAATGTTGATGTGCACCCTATATTTCAAAAGAGTCAATTATATTGATTTACCAACTTTGTACACAACAGTCACTGGAAATCTCCTCATAATCTTTTATAGAACTATAAGTCATCACTTTCTAGATAAAGGTTAATCATATTTATTATTTTGTTTTTGTTTATTTTGGGAGGGACAATGTTCAGCCTATTAACTGTACCAGCTTTAGCTATGAGCTAATTTACATCTGTAGTCCCTGTGGGCAGGAGACAGAGACGACGTCTTTGTTAAGAAATAAAACATACACTAAAATCATCTAACAACAATACACAAACCCTGTACAACAGCACCAAATTCATACACAGTGAAATCCACAAATTATATTTAAACAGTAAAAGGCTGAGAGCACTATCAAAACAGCTGGAGCACAACACCCCACATCTCCAAAGCAACACGTGAAAAACACCACAACATTATCAGAGTTCATGAAACTTCATGTGTTTATGTGTGGTGAGGACATGATTGAGTTGATTTGAGCCATGATTTCATCTTACTGTTAAATTCAGAAAAGCTGGAGCACTCTTTGATTTCACTCGGTATGGAGTTTCAAATGCGTAGCTCTAACAGAGAGGACGGCCAAACTCTGTATTACACAATCCCCTCTGTGGGCCGTCCTATTGTTCTTCTACTATGGTTTCTATTTGATAGTATTAAATTCATTGTACATTTACTGAACAGTGCTTTGCTGGTGTAATATTTCTAATAAGGTACCAAGAAGTCTATGGAATTAAATCTTATCAGCTGGTTCAGACATTTGAATGTCAGTGGCACCCTGGAGGGTCAACTCAATAAACAAAAGAGCTTAAAAAAAAAATTAAAATAAAAAGCAAGACATTTTTTGCTCATATGGTATGAACTACGCTACAAGTTGTATATTTCTCAATAATAATATTTTTTTTAAAGCTTAGAAGTCATAAAACTAAGCTTTATAAAATTAGACGTTTTAGTAGATAGTAGGACAAACTGAATTGTTTTTCACAGAGAAAAATACAATGTTTAAACTTGCATTGCTATGTCATTGGTAATTTATAAAATAAATTTTGACCTGATAAATAGCGTGTGTAAAGTATTTAAAAAACATAATTTCTCACTTTGTTTCACAGAGCAACACTGACACCTGCTGTCCTCATTTCAACAAACCCTCAGTCTGGGTCTTCTAATAGATTTCTCACACAGCCTACAGGTAGGAAAACAAAACAGACATTCAAGTTGCCGAATGAACAATACATAATTGTAGATTTACTGAAAGCTAGTCTTTGGACAATGTAGTCGATGTGAACTAGTAAAAACAGCAAAGCGGAAGTCTCACTGAGATGAAAGTGTCACCCCTCTTCAATCATTTGGTTCAGTCCACGGCCTCGTACCCGGAAGTAGTAGTGCATGTTTACATAGTCAGCTGACTTCAGTTCACCTGATAGTGATTAGCAAAAGAAAAATGCAGTTTTGCACATCTTATTGCTAAATGATTTAAGTATATGCTACGTTTATGGGTTTATTCTGCTAGCAGCTCTTTCGCTTTAACAATTAGCTGCCAGTTAGCTTAGCATTGAGCAGCTGTTTAGTAAACTAGCTGTGAAAGCTCAGGAAACCTTTTGACTCATCTTTTAAAATAAACCTTTACAAATGGACAAGATAGCTCAAGGTGAGTAAAACACAGAGCATAATGCAGGGTGTGTACTTATTTAAAACTATACTGGAGTCACTGGTTTGTTTCATGTTTGTTATAAATGTAAGAAGCTCTTTTGTCTTAAGTCAATGTAAAGGAGGAATTAGATGAAACCTTAGTTAGAAATAAGTTCATGATGTTATCATGATACAATTATAGTTTTTACAGTAAACGAGGTCTTTCCAAAACTTTGTATAAAACAAAAATAAGACATTTCAAATTCAAAATGAGGCAAGTTTTATGAAGGTGTGTTTTAAGTATTGTTTAAAGTATTGTTTTAAAGTATTGTTTTAAGTATTGTTTTAAGTATTGTTTTCTTCTTAATGTCTTTTCTTTATGGTTTTACTATTTTTTATCTTTTACTTCTTACTGTTCTTTTATTTATGCTCTTATCTTAACTCCTTATGTTTTAACTTTGTCATTTTTTATCTTATTTACTTTGTCTATTTATGTTTTATATGTATATTTACTTTTTATTTGTATTAATATTATAGTTTGTTGTTTTTTTTATCCTTTAACCACTTGTTTATATTTCTTTTACTGCTCTTACCTTCTTATTGCTGTTATCTTTTGATTTTTTTTCAGCTCTTTTAGTTTCTTACATCTTTTTAAATCTTTGGTCCTCTTGGTCTCAGCTCGTGTTGTTGGGTTCTTGTGTTGCCTGGGTTCTTATGATGGTTCTTATGATGGTTCTTGTGATGGTCGGGTTATATATGTCTGTTGGGTATCGTGCACTTTGGGTTCTTTTCTGTTGAACTGTATTTAATTATTTTTAGTATTTTGCATTTGCTATGTTTTTGCTGTTGTTTATGTTCTTCTGTGTTTGGTTTAGTTTGCTTTGTTCTTGTTTGTCAAAGCACTTTGTAAACCTGTGTTTTTAAAAGGTGCTCCCTAAATAATATTATTATTATTATCATTATTATTATTATTATTGAAATTAAAGCATGCTCCAAGATTTAACAACAAGGTTGTTGATGTGTTCTGTCCTGTGCTTTGTTGCAGATGTGGGTGATATCCAGTCTCGGCTGTTAGACCACAGACCTGTCATCAATGCAGAAATCCGCTACTTTGTGAGAGAGTTTGAGGTACCTCACATTTGTTTTTGTTTAAAAATGTAATTGCAGAAGCAGTACATAGTCTGTGTTTGGTGTCCAGGCTCCAACCTAATCACCCCTTGAGTCGTCGCTGTTTTATTTTACATGCAGAAATTTGAGGAGTGATGAGATGGTATATGTTTAACCCCCTGGTCAGAGCCTACAGGGGATGCTCAGGTAGTGGTGGGGCTGGTACAGGTCAGAGCAGGCAATGAAAGAACAGAAAAAGAGACTGGAAATCTTGCAGCCTAAATAGACCTCTAATTGAAAGGAGGTGTTGTCAGGTGACTGTGGATAATGACACGTCAAGTCATTGCAGCAAGTTGACTGCCTGAACTGATTTCAGGCGTCGCCTCATTTGTGACTCTGTCCTGAGCACTGCAACAATTGCCATGGACCCACAAACAGCTACACCCCTTATACTTAGATGTTAAAACAAACAAAAATAAAATGTATTTTTGTAAGACTGAAGATCATTTTAAACTGTAAAATGACAGTAGTGATGAGGAAACCGTATGCCCTGGTGTTTGAATGGTCAGACTCAGTACAGAGACTCTGGTGACAAATATTACAACTTTTCCATTAAACTTTATTCAAGCAACATGTTGAGAACCACTGACTTAATGACTAAATGAATTGTAGTGGTGAGTGTGTGTGTGACACTGAAGTTTTCCCATATGCTGTTTAGGAAAAACGTGGACACAGAGAGAGCAGACTTCTAGAGAACCTCAATAAAATGGTCACCGAAAATAATGACCAAATGATGCCCACTAATTTAGAGACCATCAACCAGCAGCTGTCTGATATCACCAAGCGATGTAAGTCCCCTTCTCCTTAAATTTGCTTTTGAGACTTTGTTTTAAATCATGATAAAGTTGTTGTCACTTTAAGATTTTTTTGTGAGTTATCACTTTATCTTTATTATACGGAGTTTCATTACATTGTAAAAAATAAGGTGCTAACTGTGATGACAGCTTTGTATTTGTGAACAAAGCTTCATATTCCTAATGCAAAGGCTTATTCAGCAACACTTTATGTCAACTAAAAATAAAAGACATTTGACTGCCACTATGATAAGAAGTCATAGTAGGAAGTGGAATAACATAGTGTAGTTCAATTGTACCACTGTTTTCATCCATATGATAGTAAGTTTAGAAAACATAGAAATCTTTAAAGTTTGAATTCATCTATATTCTGTCAGAGTTCATTTTGAATATGTGTATTAAGAATATTACTTTGCTTTTTTTTTCCTGCAGTAGAGGCTGCTAATCACATGGCAGAAAGAGTCCAGCAGAGGGCGCTAGAGGCACAGCAGGTAAAATCCACTCAAGGCAAAAGGATTTGTAGAGCAGGTGGAGATAAAGTCATAGCCTTGAAAAAGCACATTAACAGATCATATAAGCAGTTATACTATTGTGTCTGCTCTTTGTTTATGCTGTAACTGTGACAATGATATGATGATATGAAAATACTTTCTTTCCTCTTGTCTCTCAACTCAGTGTGAGACATTTGCTTACACTATATGTTGTGTTATTTGTCGTTTGGCCTCCCAGAGCAACCAGCTGCAGGTGAACATGGAGCATTTGAAAGAAGAGTGGGCAGAGTTTCTGAAGGAGCAGCAGAAATTAAAAGAGGAGGTGGACGAGGAGCACGCTAAGGCTGTGGGACAACTCAGCATTCAGTACAGCGAAATGAAGAAGGAGTTAACCAAGTTACCATCCATTTAATCAGTCGTTTGTAATGGTGTGAGTGAAAACACTCTGTGTGTGTTTATCATGAACTGTTCAGCACATGCAAAGCAAAGTTACTGGCTTTGATGTATATACCTGCTAGTTAGCATAAAGAGGTTTTGCTGCAGCGCAACAGCCAACATTTTCCAAATCATAAATCTGAAAGTGCGATAAACAATGTGACATTTTCACAGGCCATCAAACTCACAATGTTCTGTCTTTTAGCACATGGAATTTTCACAACACCTAAAAGGTCTGGAATACGTCATTTTTCTTCAACAAGCAAGCATTTGATTGTTCCATGGCTGTGAAGTTTTCAACATTTAAAGAATTTTAATGGATGACTGCCTGAGGGGAGCAGATGATAAATTTGCCCCAAGTTGAAAGAAACCTGGATCTTAAAATGTTGGAAAAGTCCGTCTGAGCAGGTGTGTTTAAAGCACAGGTCAAGTGTTTGTAGAAACGAGCAGAAACAGAACTGTTTCCAGAGAACATCATCCCTCACCTGCTCACATATGTTTGGAACATTTGACCTGTGACAATAATTCATGTAAGCCAACTGCCTATGAAGTCCCTTTGATAATAAAATACCTTCGCTTGGGCCAAATTTGAATGATCAGCTGCAGCTGTTTCTTGTTTGCTTTGCCACCTTAAATCTGAGTTTAATGAGTCACAAGTGCATAATGTTTTATGGAGTTTTAAATAGAAATTGGCATGTACACCTCTACAGGTTTTCACTGGTTGTCATGCTGACATGCCCCAAATTGCACTGTTTTGTTTTTGATCCCAAGAATGGGGGACAGGTGAGCAGAAGGGTGGGCAGACCAGGTTAATGTCAGACACCGTAATAAAACAAATATATGATATATTCCTTCACAGTCCACCACACTCATTCAGACTACCCGGACAACCTAAACTGTAAAAGAGGAAGCAGATTTTCAATTGGTTTGTGAGCTGGAGGAAAATACAAATGATCTGAGGAAATTAAAAAGAGACAGCAGTTGTCCTTCCCCTGTTGGACAGAAAGACCTGAAGTTGACTCAGTTCTGGTTCTCTTCTCATAGAAGCTGCTGCTTTTTTCATTGACCTCCCAGCTCTCATACAAACCACTCTCTAGTTGTTCTGCTGTGTCCGTGCATAAGCCTGTGTGAGAGAGAGTCTGGGTGATGGCTGGCGTCAGAGCAAGACATGGTGGTTGGCATGTCATCAGAGGTCACAGAGGGCACAGACATGCCAGCAGATGGTATGTGTGTGTGTGTGTGTGTGTGTGTGTGTGTGTGTGTGTGTGCATGCCTTCCCTCCGCCTCAGTGACTGCAGCTGTCCAGTGTGGAGACAGCCCATCATCGGCTAACAAGGAGCGACAACACGGAAACATGGCCCACCTCTGCCAGCAAGGTACCTTTTCATCTGCTCTTGTCTGTTTTTATGGTTTCGCTGGAAAGACGTACACGAAAGGTCAACATTAAAGTTGTTTGTGTGGGAGCCTTTCATGAGAACAGAGAAATAAGCTCACAGTAAGTTATTGCAAGGCCTGATAAGAAGTACAGAGCGTATCTCAACATTTTATGTGTTTGACTTTGGATTACAAGATCAGGGATAGAAAAATTTGTGATAGTTTGCCTGAAAGCAAAGTAAACGTGGTTTAAAAAAAAATAAAAAATAATCTAACAGGTGCACTTGGTCGCTTCCTGGCCTGCTCTTTGCCTGTTCAAATCCAAAATAATACCTGTATTATGACCGGGCTGAGGCAGGGTGAGGAAGCCCCAAAGACAGATTGACCTTCCAAAGTCTGCAACGCCACTAAAGGACCGCTGCTGGTAATAGTAAAAAATTGACAAAAGCAGGATTTAGATTGTCTGTTTGTGATGGAGACATTTCAACAATAACAGATTGCAACATTCATGGGAATTTGGGTTCTAAGTTTATAGCCTGAACAGTGAGAAAAGCCAGAAATCTCAGCATCTGGTAAAGTATTTGTTAAGTGACACATCAATGTAATAGGGCCATATTTAAAGGTGAAGAACACTAAAAGTTTGATCGTAACAATGAGTCTACAGTAACATGTATCTGATTTATCAGGATAGAAGTCTGTCTAAACATGCAGAGGAAACAGTCAAGCATCCATGCCACAACATGTCCAGGCTGCTGGCACACGATCCTACAACGACCATGACATACAATCCTGTGAAGTAACTTTGTGTCAACACCATGTACAACTCGGTCTGAAATGTCTTGTTATCATGCTCCTCAGTCTGCTACCTCACTCCCACCGGACCCTCACTAGTATGTTTTTTGTCTCTAGTGTGAACGAGAGAGCAGTCTGTTCTTCCTGTTTTTGAAGACGGCGCAGTGCTCTTGGGCCATAGAGCTACCGTTCCCTGTGCCAATAAAAATGGTAACTGAGACGGCAGCACCCAGCTTGAGCTCGATTGGGCAAGAGACAGAGATAAGAGGTTTGTTGGTGAGCAATCTGATCCTCTGTCTGAAAAAGAGCCTTCACTGAAAAGATGAAATATAACACAGAGATTAAAAGTGTTGATGACATTTGAAAAAGACATTTACTCGGAAACAGGATCTGATCTTTGAAAATAATTGTGGCGGGCCTGAAGAGAAGAGTTATCTTTGCTGGAATACAGATCAAATTCAGGCTTGTTTATCCTGGTTTATCAAGACAACATGTTCGGTTTGGCTGTTCACTTTTATCAGTCAGTTTAATCAACCCACAACACTTACCTGCACAAAACTGTGGCCTCCTGCTTTAACTCCATCTTTAGGTAGCCATCACCAGAATCCTTGTTACCCTCTCTGTTGGCACCTTTGGTTACTGCAATGGTTGATTTCACACCTGCAACTATATGGCAGCAATCTCTGACCTATAAATTGCTTTTTAGTCGATATAGGTGCTTCTAGGAGCGATGGTCACCTTTAAGTGTAGCCAGCAGTTAGCATTGCAATTCTTCAGACCTTAACTTCCTGGTTTTCTGTATACATCCACTGTAATGATATCACAGTCTTATTACAAATTAAATCCAGGAAACTTCTGGTACCAAATCTGGTCCAACGGCAGATTCTGCATACTTCTGCAGAGACCACCAAACAAAGGTCAGCACAACATGCACATTTAGACAGTTTGATTGGAGCTCTGTGGAAATATTGGTGTGTACATTTCTAGTAAAGTTTGTGCCGCAAACGAGGAGGTTTAGTAGCCCTGGGCAGGGGAAACCAAAAAGGGAATACTGCCTATGAGTGGCCACCAAGAGAGAGGCAGGGTAAGCTTGAATAAGATGCAGTGACAAGGACTCTGACTGTGGGGGCAAAAGAGACATAAGGGTGAGGTGGGCACTAACCATGTTGTTGCTTAATTCACTGTCAGGATCTGGTCATTACCTGACGTTATAAGCATCTAACTTCACAAAGTACAGATGCACTGGATTGCATCAGTACTCATGTTAATCTGTCTCTGACTGTATACATCCATGTTTCTATTTTCTGGGGTTTGTCCACACTGCACTCTTTTTGCAAACCCATGATTCTAATCTATTGAATCTTTATTGGGAGATAAGGAACAATGTACATGTTTATGAGTATACAGCAGGTCAAACATAGCTCTTGGTCTTAAAAATATGTATTCCACCTTGTGTGGCTCTGCATTGTTTGAAATCTAATAAAACAGCAGGCAGACCTTGAACTTCCTTAAAGAAAACAAATAAAATACACGTAGCCCCACAGGACTGCTTAAGTTTCTATAAAGGTGACAGCACACTTGGCAAACAAAACTTCTTTTTTTTGGCCCAGTCACCTTTCATTTTAGTTGACTTGTGAGAAAAAACAGGCCTTAAAGAAAATAATTTCTCTGTTTTGTGTTGGAACAATGGAAGGCGAGGAGAGGAGGAATTCATTCACGCCCGCTTTCCTGACAGCTTATGGGAATTTTCAGCCTCTGCATGCTCACTCTCTTTCTTTTGTGCTACATGATGGGCCCCCGTTACTCAATTACTAAAGGTTTCAAAATGAAAATGCCAATGAACAAAAGCTCTGCGCTTCGAAGTTAATAATCTAGAATAAAACCACCCCAGGGAGTTGGTGATGGGTCCTTGGTGGGCTGAAATGCAGGTGGTTATATGAATTCTTTGGCAATAGCAAAAATTCACCCAGTGGATCACTAAATAAGAAAAGGATTGCATGCTATAAAACAAATTAATACATTTATATTTCTCAGAGGGAACGTTGCGAGGCATGCTGGATAGTCTCAGAACATGGCTGCTTAGAAAATGAGCACTGGGTGGCACATAAAACACTGAATGAAAATTAAATTTCCCACCTTTCACCATAAATGGAAGCACTCGCTATTAGCGATTCATGAAACATTTAGTTACTATTCACTTATAAACATCAGATTAATTGTGTTCACATGCCGTCTTTTTTGCAAAAGCAAGCCAAAGGTCTAATTAGCAGAAATGTGCGTGATGTTTTGCATCTGTTCAGTTTCATCAGACAGCCTTGCTAATACAACAGCTCTGTGTTCCTGTCAGGTCCAAAAAATACAGATAACAGTCCAGCAACAACAGTCACCTTCCTCAGTCAGTCACAGGGCGAAACAATAGCCAGAGAGGACGCAGAGAACAGCCTGTCATCAGCCAGCGGCCACCAGCAGCAGCAAGGTTTGTTGTCGTCTGGATTCCTGAGCTGTAGAGGAATGTTTGGCAGCACCTCCAACTACATACCTTCGCATTGGCTTTGATTTGCTCTGTTTAGTGCACATGGCAGGTATTTTCCAAATGTTATCAATATGTGACTATAGTGGTGCCAAACCCGAACACTAAAACCTACATTTCATGGTTAACAAATAGCAGCAAACACAGATTATAGTTTACCAATAAAAACTATATTATAACCATTTTCAGTTGATGGCTAACTTGTCAGCGAGCATAGTTGTATTTTGGTCATCCATCACCTATAAAGCAGTGTTAAAATTAATTTAGAGTAATGTCCGTACATGTCAAAGATTTACATCAAATATAAACTGTTTTGCTTAGTTTTTTATCTCCACCAACTTGGGGAAGAATCTAACTTCTAGCTTCTAGATGCTTAACTATCAAACTGATTCAATTCAATTTAAAAAATGTCATTTGTCCCTGGGGGGCAATTCAATTGCTACTTGTTATAAATATAGTCCCATACTGGTTATAGTAAGTGGACTTTTAGTGCCTTTGTTAAAGATAGAGTAAGTACTGGAACAAAAAGAGACTTATAGAAAAGTAGTTCCGCTCAATCATCACTTATGTGGCTCCATACTGTACATGTGTGGTGGTGATTGTCTCTGCAGAGACTCTGTCCTCTGTCTCTTTATTTCAAATGACAGCGCTAAGGTGGGTTTAGTACTGGATTTAATTCAGCAATTGCATGCGATTAAAACCAGCGAATATGATGGACGTGGACATAGTGGTGAATAGGGGAAAATGTAATCATAGAGAGGCGAAAAGCCACGCAGAAAAAGCTTGTCCCAAAACGAGGGCGAACCTTGGGTAAACTTTCACCCACTGACGCGTAGTTGGCCTGCTTTCAGTGCGACAGGCAGGAGCCAACACAGGTGGTTAGCTTGTGCGGTAGCT